TGGCCTACAGTCGCAGATAAAAAGAGGGAAAATATGTCATGCTACGAGGTGAAAAGTAGGAAAATACATTCAAAGGTTTTAAAACATTTTCAATAGCAAGAATTCATATGTTTATGTATCTCGTAGTCGAGAGTGTGGTAAAAGGGTGCTACTTCTCTTTGGCATGTTGGGGAAAAAAAAAAAAAAGAATTTCTAGACTACAGTTCTTTAAATAGCTGGTGAACTTTAGCCTTGGTTTTGCTAAGTCTGGCATTTCAGAAACAGTGTCTGTACCACAAGTCCAGTTAAAGATTAATTTGAAGTCGTCTGGAGTTAAAACAAGTCGTTTATTGGTCCCTTTTAAAGTGGAAGTATTATGTGTTTTCCAGCCACATGGTGCCATTTTATAGTACAATCAAGTAACTATGTTACCTTCAGTTATTATAAAAACTGACTTAAAAGAAAGTTTGACTTCTATGCCCTGTAATCAGGCTTTTTGTCTGCATGTTCTTTCTGAAACGACGCATTCAGGAACTCATCACTAATAATGAGCTCAGCAGATGCGCTGCTCTACCAGGTGTTTGCTAATTGTTGCTGGCTAGTCTGAAGTAGCTGAGTGGAGGACGTCAGGTGTTCTGTGAGGTGGAAGCTTGGACATTTGAAAACAGAAGTTCTGAGGAGGAGCTTCGTCTTTGAAGGCGGAGCTATGTTCACCCAGACGTTTTGCTCAGCTGAATGGTTGCCATGGAGATTAACAGATTTCTCAAACATGCACAGTCAAGTTTTTGATGAGGGAATAACATTATAACATGCTATTGTTGATGTAAAGCTAAAAAAAAGTCAATTTTACATAATGCTGCCCCTTTAAATGTTTTGGATGAGTGGATTCAGTCAAAGTCAAAATTCAAAAATGCTAATTTGTAAAATATTATAATCAACATGGCAAATTAAGGTAATTTTTTTTTGTAATTCCTGCCATCATTAACATCTGGTTGGGTGTTGTTCTTTGGAATATGTAAGAAGAATGATTTAGAAAATGAGGAAACATTTTCCAAAACCCGTTTTCTCTTTCCATTGTTATCCATGCCTGGAAAACAATAAAACACTTTTCAACACTGCAAAGGAACGCTGACATTTACAGTAACCTTTTGACTGGACACGCTGCAGCTCTGAGATGTAGCAGAAGCCTGGAAACGGTCAGCTTTGCCGTAAATAAAGACGACCTTGGGCTGCCTCCCAAGATCCTGCATCAGGCCGACTCAACAAGCAACGTTCTGATTTATAACTTCTGACCTGAACAATGTGCCAAGAATATGTTTACTTTTCATCCACTCTCTTTGTCTAGAGGTACACACGTAGATCAGCGCGGTCTATCTGATAAAGCAGGAGTGGTTTGAACTGTGTGAGAAACAACCGACTCCAAACATTGTGTCAGAATGGCCCAGTCAAAGTCCAGGTCTAAATCCAATTGCGAATCAAAGGAATGACTTGAAAATTGACACACGTGATATGCTCCTTCCACTTTGTGATGATCGTACAAGACGGTTGGGTGACATGGACTTAATTTATTATGATATTTTGCAGTACTATTGTGAAAACAAAGAGTTACGATAAAAAAAACTGTATTGAAAATGACTTTTACTTATTTTTTAGGTAACTGAATGCTGCAGACTTCATGTCGCCACAACATAAATGCTGGTCTTAAAAAATGACATTCCTATTTGAAATGAGCTTCTTCAGGACGCCACGCACTGAATAGTGATATACATTGTTAAATTAAACATAGAGGCTTCATTTAATCATTTAATCTCCAAATTTACTGATACCTATAGATTCTCTCGTGGAAAAAAACAGTGGAAAAAAAAGAAGAAATAACATTTTAGTCTTTTTTTTTCAACATTAACTGGAATTTATCGTGGCAACTTATCATGACAAAGACAAAAATACAGATTAATTATTAACGAAACGGAAAATTGCAAATAAAAAGATATCCTCCAAACATATTAAAAATCTATGAATTCACTTTGAACAACCTTCTGTGGCGAAGAGACAAACTGTGTTCATGAGACACATGTTGCTCTCATAACTATCAGGCAAAATGAAGCAATGACAGTTAAACGGATTATTTGTTAACATGCCGAGACTTTTTTTGTTTTTTACTCCAGGATTTAAATACCATTTTTGAGGGCGGCTCCGTGCTTTTGGCTCGGGTTCTGGAGGTGAATGTCTGCGTGGACCGAAACCTCTCTGGTCTTCGCTGCACTCAGAAATGTGTCTGGGAGGCTGCTAAAGTCTGTGGCATAAACAGAGAGAAGCTGTCAGCCCAGTTACTTGAATAAATATTAACACTACCTTAAAATACTTCACAAATCAACAAGTGGTCTTGCCATTTATGACCAGAGAAAACATGAGGGGAGTCTATTAGCTAAATACACTAACTAGTACTCTATTTAACTCGCAACTCTATTTACCCTAACCCTATTTAGCTACAAGTTAATACTAGTTTAATAGTAGTTTAGCTTGTAGCTAAATGGCTTACTAGCTACTAGTCTAATTACTAGGTAGTAGCTAAATAGACTACTAGCTAAATAGTAGCTATTTGTCAACTTTCTAAATAGACTAGTTACTCTATTCCACTAAATAGACCCCAAAACCAATAGTAGTCTACTTAGCTAATAAACTATTAGCTAAAGATTATTTTAGTGCCTAAGGGGGATTAGCAGTGTTTTTCTGCAAACTGTTCTCACTGTAGAAAGAATCCTACTTGGTTTTTGTTGCCCTAAACAAAGACTATGACATCTGAAACCTTTCAAAACAAGGACTCTGTGACTGTGAGCAGAGTAAATGAAGGTGGGGTCCATGGTATTTTATTGTAAAAACAAAACACACACCGCTTATTTTATCATAATCTGGAGTCTGCGAACCAGAGCTGCTGCTCTCCATCATGTCCTGCCGCCTCTGGTGCACAACTCCATCCAGGTCGGAGAAGTCTCCAGAAAAGTCCTGCGGCGCACACGCAGCAAAGCACACAGCAAGCCCCAGTGGGGTGTTGAGTTACACGATAACAATGCACGTCCGCATTCCTTCACAATGGATCAGGTACAATGAATTCATCCTGAACAAACATGGCAGAAAATGGAAGGACCAGACCCCTTACTGACCAGAGGAAGCGACGTGGGGCAGCTAGCTCTGAAGCTGTTTTCACAGGAGGAAGCTACAGGGCTGCTACTTATCTTATCCACCTGCAATGACAACATGCAGGGTTTTAGAAGAATAACTGGAAGTGCTGGTGGAAATCTCTACAAACCCCCAAAACCAGACAATATGTTTGGAAATTGTTACTTTTTTTTGTTTGAACGATTTATTTTTTTGAGATATTGGTTTCATAGATGACCAGATAACTTCAAAATACTTAAATATATGGTTTAATGCAATTGTCTGTAGTGGAGCTCTTTATGTCCCTGATGTATGAAACTAGCCTATTTATGCTAATAGGTGTGTTATATTTTTGTAGTACCTGAATTTTTGGGGAACTAAATCCGTGTAATGTATTTCAAAAACAACATTTATTAATCAAGTAATTTTTTTAAATATAGTTGTTATTGACAATATAATATAGTTGTTATTGACATAAATGCCACAAATTACTACAAATTACCAATTAACACCCATCGCTACTAGAAATAAAGAAAATTACCTAACAATGCTAGTTCCTTAGCTAGCTATGTTTAGCTAGCTAACTTCATATAGAGTTATGTTAGTTTAGCTTAATCCAAAACAGTTTTTGCTAGCTTGGTCATTTTTTGCTAAAAGTACTTTTGAATATGCTATAAAGTTATATTTTATTAAGTAACTACAAATTTAAAAAAATACCCGATTTAATGCCCCCAAACAGCCAACAAAATGCACATGAAATAACACAACAAAAGCACTTACACATGCACTAAAAAAAAACACTTCTGGGAGAGCATTTTATTCTTTTTGACTTTTGCATTTTCTTTTCTACGCTGGTCAGTCACTGTATTTAACAGCAAATGAAACCAAAAAGTTAATACCAGCTAATGTAACAGTAGTTGCTAAATGCTAATGACTTTCACCCTAATGATTTATTTGCCTGTTCTAGTTATTTTAAAAAGATATTAAAAAATACAAACGATACAAACGACTAGTTATTTGACATCTTGTTATTTTAAAAAGATATTAAAAAATACAAACAACTAGTTATCTGACATTACAAGAGGATGTTATTTACCTCCAGATGAGGGCAGATGGATTTCAGAAATTTAAAGGTGTTGTTTCGAGAGAGAAATGATACAAAGACATGCTAAAAAAAGACAAAAGAAAACATCACTTTTATGCTTATATTCTAAGAAGAACACCAGTTGTACAATTTACTTACATCTATGTCTGTAGTTCCAATTACAAGAGCGTTTGGCACCAATAACGCAGTCTTAGTTTTTTTGATAAGTTTCACCGACATCACCGGGATGGAAATCTGGCAACGAGGAAGCACAATTAATGCCAACTGATCAGTATCGGAAAATTGTCATAAGTTCCCTGTTTGCAGTTTTTCTGTAGCATACCTTGATGTCTTTGCCAAAGACTTTGGAGTGGAAACAGATCCAGTTTTGAGAGACGAACATTTTGCCCTGGTACAACATGTCTCTCTGCAGGGCGCAGGTGTAACCTGGTGGCAAACAAGTATTCAGTTTCCAAAATTAAACAACCCAAACAAGTCATCCAAACAGGAGGATACAGAGCTTACTCTGTTTGAGCAGCTCATCTTTGCTGACCGCCTTGAATAACTTGTGGTAATGCGCGTTGGTCTTTGACAACTGCGGGAAACGAAAGAGCACAACACAGAATCATTAAAGAACAGCGGACGGGTGGAAAAGCTCGGCGGGATTCGAAGACGCATCGCTACCTGGTTGGTCTGGGATTTCTTCCGGTCAAGCTTGGTTTCAAAGTCGCTCAGGCTCAGCATTGGTGACAGCGGCTCCACGGGTTTCTGTCTGCTGGATGAAAAAAGGTCAGTGTTTACAGCCGGGCGGCCCGGTACAACGACGGCCTCGGCAGAAGGAAAGCTATATGTCACATTATCAGTCAAACGCAAACGTCGGATCCTGAATGTGTGTGTTTACTTTGAGACTGCTTTAGCACAAGGCAGCCGAGGGAATCTGTAAACAGCGCCTTGGTCCTACACAGGATTCATGACGTGTAGGAGCTGGAAAGTTTCAACAAACTTTAAAACTATTCCTAGGAACAGGCTAGAATGAGGCTCTCGTGGAATGATGACCTCGAGAAAGAAAACAAGTGTAACAACATTGTTTCAGCTAGCTTCCCAGCAGTGTGCAGCAACCGAAGGTTTTAGAAACTTTTTAGAACACAGGCATACACTGATGCTTCTGTTTCATATCAGAAGTGATGATATGAAACAGGAGTTTCATATCATCACTTCTGAGTTTCATATCATTACTTCATCAGAAGTGATGATAAGAAACTCCTGTTTCATATCATCACTTCTGATATGAAACACCCGCCCCAAAAAAGAAAAAAAGTGAATATATCTGTGGACATTACAAGTTTACACACCCATTTTTAAAATACCTCGATTTGCTATGTAAAAAAAACAAGATCAAGATTTTTTTAAAAAGTCAACTCCTTTCCAGCTTTAAAGTGACGTTTAAAAATGTAAAAAGCTGAAGTATGCTTTCAGAAAATGTACACGCCGTCAATGCTTTGCTGCATCTATAGGATTAATCAATTTGTTTTCTTGACTTTCACCCGTTTTATTAAATGTGGAGAATCTCATTAAACGTATGAACCTGAAATAAAGTTCAGCAGTCCAGGTAGGGTTTTTTTTTAACCTTTGCACATGCGAAACCTTGAGTTCAAGCAATAGTTTGCACAGAGATTACAAAGGATCAAAATGATCCCGTACAAGGAAAAAGAAACACAACCCTACCACGGCTACATTACCTACGGCTGAAAAAATAAAACAGGAATCTATCTTGCTTTACTTACTGTAAACGGTAAGTAAAGTATGATGTAAAGTCGTTGAATCATGGCGTTTTTAAAACCTTACAGCTCCATGCCTGTGAGGTTTTAACGCTACATACATTGAAGCTTTTGTATTAAGAGATAATAAGTCGTGACATTGTTGTCCAGCTAATTTTTACCGTACAGAACGATTAACATAAAGCTATTCGATACTAAACATGAGGATTAATCGTAAAATTTTTTTTTTTTTTTTTTAAAGCAGTGATGCATTGGTGGTCACCTGATGCTGGCTGGTTTCTTCCTGCTCTCTGACGGTTCTGACTCGGAGTCCAGCAGCAGCTGGAGGTCTGCCGGTGCCAGTCCACGCCTCTTCTGCCTCCTCTCCTCCTCATTGTTCCCCTCTGAGGACCTGGGAGCAGAGGAGAGCACAGTCAAACATCCCAGAAGGTGTTCAATTACACTTTGCATGCAGTCTTTTTACACCTGGGTGAAGCCACCATACATCATCTGCTGCAGGTTTTAACTCGTTTCCCTCTTCTTCCTCCTCCCTCTGCAGCGGTTGTTGTTTTAATGGCTAACTGAACATGTAGCCAGGAGGCATTAATAAAGACAAGCCCTTTTTTTTTTTTACTTTTCTGTTTTGGTCCTGCGCGTAAATTGGACCCTAGAGGGCGCCACCTCTAGGGCTGACATAATACGCTTTAAAAGTACGTTGCAGGAAAGTTTTGGACATCTTGGATTTCTGAATGCAAATGAAACCGCCTTGTGGCACGCGACACGTCCGCGCCGCATCCGGCTATTTAAAGTCACCGCATCCACTTCATCTACATACAAAGTATGGAGCAGGACGCGAATGCAAATAGCGGTTGTCCATCATGTCTGGATCGTTTCCACTTAAGCAAAAAAAAAAAAAAAAAAAAAGAGAGCGAGAGAGAAA